GATCCCGATGACCTGGCACGCCAACTCCTCGAGGCCAAGCACTTTTTCAATACTTTCTCGTGTGTGGTTCTTCGATTTGTGGCGGAGTGTGTGTTGTTTTGTCTGTTCATTCTGGCACAGGTGTTTCTGTTCGTTGTTACTTCTGTTTGCGTCATTTTCCACGCCTCTTTCGGGGTTTAAGGTTTGAGGCTCTAGGGCTATAGGATTCTGCGACGGCCTGGGTGCTAGGGTTGAGGTTTAATTGGTCTTGGGGTTGATGGGTCTGGGTTGTAGGTTTTGTGTCTAAGGATCGTTTAGGGTTTAGGGTTTAACTCTCATGTTGTCCTTTTGAAGTCTGGAGTGTTAGGGTCCAGGACTTGGGGTTCAGAGTTTGGGGTTTGGGGAACGCTTTCGGGCTAAACGTGCAAAAAGATTCTTTTAGGGCTTGTGGATACTAGTGTCAATGCTCCTTTAGGGATTTTCGGGTTTTGGATGTTTGCGGGTTCTTTGCAGGGCTCCTTTGGATTGGATTGTGGTTCGGTGAGTTTGGGATTGTTGGGGCCTCCTCCAGGGTTTAGGGAGGCTGGGGGTTGAGAGGTTTAGGGCTCCTTCAGGATTTCCAGGGTTTGGGAATTTAGGGGAAAAGGGTGTGAAGGTTTCGCTTGCAGCGACTGAGTCGGGTCTATGCTGTCCGGTTCAGTTTAGGATCTACACATAGTGCTTTCACGTATTAGAGCTCCGGTTTCGGCTGTGCTATTTTGCTTATCATTGGGGTCGCGGGTGAGTAATGACCTCATTAATGCCATTTAATGCCCGAATAGGGGTTCTGCTCAGCTTGTCCGAGCATGATGTTCTGCTCGTGTTGTTGTAGGGCCTTCTTGTAGCAGTGTTTGCCGCGGCATTTGCAACTTTGCCTGCACATTGGCCGTTCAGGCAATGGATGTCGACTCGGACGGCTATGTCAGCTATGCAGAGCGGCTTGGTGACCTTTGGAGCTTTTTGTTGTATCTTCCGCAGACCTCCATGTTAGAGCCCAATACAGTAAGTGCCTCAACCGTGCAAGTCTTGTGTAGAGTCTTGGGTGCTGTGGGGTGCCCACCGTAACAGCTTCGTGGAAGTGAGTTGGCCCTTCATGGTACACTCCGACTCAGTTTCAAAGAGCCTAGACCTGAATTAATTGTTGGGTTGGCAGTCCCTGGCTTTTGTATGCCAAGTAGAGGCCCTACAAGGCAACTTGATCTGAAGCCTGACTCCAGGCTTCATCTCTTGCCGGAAGTGTGATCCAGACCTTCAGCTTGAGGGTTTTGTCGATGTAGAGTTGACTGCGCTGGTTCATGCAAGTTCCGACCTTCAGGGACAGGGTTTAGGCCATATGAGACAATCCCAAGAAGCAAGCAAGGGCACCGGCCAACCCTGCACGGCAACCTTTCAGCGAGAAGAAATCTGAGGTTACGTGAACCAATCCCGAAGCCCCATGCCTGTTTGTGTCAAGGCCTAGTTTGGGTTTTCGGGCATTAGCATCTAAGATTTCTAGTTTTGGGGTTTCGGGTTTAGGAAGAATTTAGGATTCCGACGAGCTCATGATCGGTGGCGACAAATAGACTACATCCGGATGCCCGGGAAGCTTCCCAACATGCAGAGAATTTCTTCCAAAGCACGAGCATCGTCAGGCCTTCAGTCAGCCTTCACTCTGAAAGCCGTTAAGGCGTGGAGAAGCCCTGAACCCAAGCCACTGAGGCCGAGCTGTCTTCCTGGACCCCATACCCGTGCCTTCACTGTGGACCAGGTTTGTCGCCTTCTGCGTTGGCCGCCGGAAGCGTGAGGCCAATTCATGATTTGGCTGGCATTCGGATTACGGCTTTTCGGATTAGTTGCAGAACACAAACCACCCCGCCTTAGTCTAGAGTTCACATAGCACAATAAGATTGACATACATAAATTTACATACATAAATAAATTAATATATATATATATATGTATACGTCTTTTTACATATATATATATATATGTAAAAAGACGTATACATATATACATATGTTACATATATATATATATATACACACATATATATATATATATGTATGTATATATATATATATATGCATATATGTATATACGCATATATGTACATATGTATATATGTATATACATGTACCTTTTTCGGTGAGCTGAGAGTCCAGAGGACGCGCACGTGGCATTATCCAAATTCAAGGCCAAACGGTGAAAAGGGCAACCAGGTTCGAGGAGACTCGGGACCTGTGCCCACGCGCCCGAAGCCAGCATCAGCAGTCCAGGTCGTGATTGGCTCTAATTAGGCAATGCAAGACCTGTGCCGAGGCTTGGGGGTGCACTGGCGAGCAAGACGAGGCTGCAAAGGAAAATCCAACTACATCAGTCGCATGCTCAAGCCAATAGCACTGTCGTCCGGGTAAACAAATTGCGGCGCTGGCGGATCATCCAGGCTAAAGCTGGCCGGAGTGCCAGTCAGAATGAAAGCAAAGCAGCTTTCCGTGACCGGGAGCAAGTCTGGACAGTCGGCGGTTGGGCTGCTGTTCCGGTGAGACCGCCTGAAATCCTCACACCAAAGCTGGGGCTCCAGCAAGAGAGCAGCATCGTCAGCAAGGCCAGCCGCGCCTGCGTGTGCCGCAGGGTGGTTCGCCCTCCCGCAGTGTGGCTCGCAGAACCTACAGTGGTTCGACGAAGTCTGTGATCGTATCCCAGACCCCATTTGAGGTTACCTCCAAAAGCCCCGGGTGTACGCAACGTCATGGTGCTGGCCCACTCCGGCCAGGACCGTTCCGGGTGCACAAGTGTCGAGGTATCGCAAATCCAGAGGTGCAGCCAACTCAAACGGAGTCAGAGCGCAAGAGGGCCCAAAAAACATCCGGACCATCTGACACAAGCTGTCTTGCGTACCGCAAACGCTCGACACGTAGGACTTTTAGGAGCAGTACATCGTCGACATGAAGGCCGCGCACAAGAAAGAGCATCAACGCTACTTGCGACATGTGCAGAAGTTGCAGGAAGATTTGCAATGGGCGAACACGGCCCAGGAGGTGGCCAAAGGCAGTTTTGCTGCTGCAGGGCTTCAAGGGGGAGTCGACCCCGGACGCGAGGATTACCGAGCCGCACTGGGAAGGCCTGATGTCGTCCTGGCTTGCAGAGGGCGACGCAACCGATGCACAAAAAGCAGCGAATTACGTGCCGACCATTACCGACATTCTTGTTTTGCCATATCTATACTCAAAAACGAACTTAGAACACATGATGTGTTGCAGTCTCTCTCTCTCTCTCTCTCTGTCTACAGTAAACCCAAAAAGTTGGAAACCGGATTCAGGACAATTAGTGCCGGGATTCCGTATACATTAGTGTTAAGGATTGAGGCTATGGGGTTTCCAACTCTCGGGCTTCTACTGTATGTAATGTATGTATTTATGTATGTGTACACACTCCTGCAGGGAGGCTTTCGAAGAGAAGGCCGGGGGTGTCGCAGAGGCGTAGGCGTTCTGGTGTTCACCGTTAACCCTAAAGCTTCAACCTTAAATGCTAGCCTAAGCTCAAAAGCCTTAAAGCCGTAAGCCTAAACCCAAAGCCCGTTTCGAATTTGAGGATCTTAGTGTTTCCGGTGTCTTGGCTTGAGGGGTTTAAGGTCTCAGAGGCTTATGTTTACGGGTTCTCGGGGCATAGAGTCCATTGCGATATCGAAAAAAGTGCACGCTGCACTGTTCAACCTTTCAAGCAAAAACCCCAAACTGTACCAACTCCTATCGATTCTGGGCGCCAAGACCCTCCTGTTACTCAGTTGTCCTGGTTGCGAGGGAGCTGGCCAAATCGTTGTCTGGGGCCTACGGGCTCGCGCCAAACCCCATCTCTCTGCCCAGACTGGTGGCTAAAATGCGCCCAAAAATGAAAATCCCGCTTGAGCTGAACCTTACACCCGAAGGGAGCACTCAAAGCCCAGCGGACCCGTCACAGCGATGAGTCTGCCACGCAGGTCAAGCTGCATCTTTATGATCTCTCGAGAGGAACGGGCAACCAGGCCAGGCAAGCAGCTTGAGATTGTGTTTGTTCAGGTTTGGGATGCCTCGATGAAGTGGAAGGTTTGCGACCTGTTGTTAAATCTGATCTCTGGGTCAGGGGGCTTGCGGTTCAGTGGCTAGTAACTTGACGCGAGCTGGGTGGTCAGTCTAGGCGGTCTCTGGAGGCTGCGATATCAGCAGTGTATGCATCAGGAGCTTCAAGTATTGGTTTGCCAGGAGTTCGGGTTTTCGCGAGTCTCGGATTTTACAGTGCTCGACCTGCAACAGGTCGCGTTCTCCTTCTGCTTGTTCCGTTGGTCGCGACTTCAACCCCCAGAACCCTTGCAAGAGTCTTGTTGATAGCCTCCTGAAGAACCTCGTGAAACCTGGCGGCACAGTCCATGATAGTCCAAACTCTAAAGTTGTACGCCCAAAACCCAGTGATGGTATCTTACACATCCTGAATGCGGCTTAACTGCAGATGCACTGGCTCCTCGGAGAGGGATTGGAGCAGATCTGGCATACAGGCCAGGTGCTTGACATGAATGATTTTGAGCAGTTTTTCTTTTAATCCTCTGGCAGTTTAACGCTCGGATAAACAAGAGGAGCTTGTGTTAAGGGGTCCGCTCGGCATTCGAGGATCCAGACCTGTGTGGGTAGTTCTCGAAATGGAGCCCGCGTGTTGTTGTTTTGGGGTCCTGGTCCACGGCATGTCTGAGAGGAATTTTGCACCGTTCGGGATTTCAATCCTGAGCTAAGGCTCATAGAACCCCGTGTGGGGTTTAGGCCAGATTTCGAGCGGACGGACTTCGGAAGTTCAATGGGCCTGGAAAGCCCGAACCTTGTCCTCTGGGCGTTGAGGCTTCAGAGTCGCCCGTATTTTTGCCAACTAGCCGCGTGCGTCTCTCCGTTTGCCTACCCTCGTGCCCTCGCGTTTAGTTTTCATCTGAGCCTCTTAGCCGATGAAGAACTCTAAGCCTTGATCCCGCGACGCCGAAGATCATGCTTGCTTCGGGAGCGCCAGGGATCGTCGCCTTCGAGAAGGAGTACTTCTTTTCAAACGACACGATCTTTGACATACCAGGCCGCTCCTTTGCTTCTTTTTGCCCACCTTCGCTGGTGCTGTTAGTTTTGAAGAACAGACCCGACGAGAACCCTCCAGCGAGGACCCCCCGAAGAACCCTCCCGCCAGATAGAGGACATCGGAAGACGACCGGTTAGAGGACAGGAAAAGGGACAGGTAGCAGGACACAAGAAGAGGACATCACAAGCGGACAGCTTCGAGGACAGATAGCAGGACACAAGAAGAGATCTTAGCAACTTTTCTGCGCACCAAGAGTGGAGGTCTCAGGCCTCCGAGTGTAACAAGAACAGGCTCTCTGCAACAACGGCCAGAGAAGGTCTCCGGCATCCTGAGTGCACCAAAGATCAGGCCTCCGAGTGCACCGAACATACACCTTCTCCGAGCACAAACAGCAGCCCAGTGGAAGTCTCAGGAGGTCTCAGACCTCCAAGTGCACCGAAGAATTTCCAGCAGCCGGTGGAGGGTCAAGAGTCAACCCCCCTGAACAGCTCGCACCGTAAGCCTGAACCTCTAAGCTTCTAAACTTCCTAGGCCCTCAACCCTAAACTGCCTTAACCTCACTCCAGACTGCACTTCACATTGAAGACACGAGTAGGGTTTAGGGTTTACGGTCTAGGGTTTAGGAAGTTGTTAAGGTTTTAAAGTGCAGGGTTTAGGGATTACGGTCGACATACACGCATACATGTGTTACGTTTACAGTGACAAACTTGCGACAAGTCCTAAACCCCAATATGGGGCTTCAACTTGGGACAGGGCAGGTGGATCGGATTGAGTGTGCACGCTGCTTTGCTGTTCATTGGGGCTTCAATGATTCAAGTTTGGATCAGGAATTGTTGGTTTCGGGTTTCGGCGGCATGTGTTCGAGTTTCCTCATCTCGGGAATGCTGCTATTCGGTACAGGACAGCATGCCTGAATCTCGAACTCGTCCTTCCCAGCTTGAGCAAAGAACAGTTTCGGGAAAGGTACGCCAACAGACTCACAGCACCCCCCGCCCCCAGCTCTCAAGACGTCCAGAGAGAGAAGGTGTCGGCCCAGGCTAAGGAACAGGATAGCCAGGCCCTGACCCCGTGCGGCTTCAGCAGCCCGCACAGGATCCAAGTGTACGCGTGCGAGGTTTGGACTCCTTTGACTCCTCACATTGTGCATTGTGACTGGAGTATACAGCTGGCCTTTCGTGAAAGGGTTGGCATCACTTCGGCATCTCATCCAAAAAGTGGGCATCACTTGTTACATGCAACATTGCTTGCTCTGCTTGTTCGGATTTTGGCTAGGGATATTTTCAAGTGGACTGCCTAAAGACGAGGCGTGGCAGCAGAGAGTCGGAAGCAAGTTGGCATCGCAGAGCCCGGCGCTCAAGATCGCGGTCACGTACGTTGCTGAGGACTTGGAGTTCCGGCATCATCACATTTCCCCAAGAAGCTTTGGAGAAGGCAGCGGCCACATTACGCGGACATCATTCAGCAAGCAATCTGAGCACTCTTTACGAAATGGCTCAGTGGACCCAGCAACACGGACAAAGCTGGAAGTGTTCAACGTGCAAGCAATTTCAGAAATCCAACGCAGTGTATTGTTCAATCTGTGGCGGCTTTTGGCAACATGTTGCCGAAACATCTTGGGCTGGAGACCTTTGGCAGGATCCATCGTGGTCACAGCAAAGGACACCGTCGCCAAGACGCAGGCCGTCACCGCGGAGAAAGGACAACATGCAGGGAAAGGGATGGCACAGCCAGAGATCAGACAACGGTGCTACGGCAGTCCCAGGAACCAAAGGGGGAGGCAAGGCCAAATCAGGTGGCACCAAATTTGCCGTGCCATACTGGCAAGCACCGCCTGCTCCTCCATGGAGGCCGGAGCCACGCACTACACCAGCAGTGGCAGCTATGGCATCAGCTGCTGCCGAGGATGGACAGATTCAGGAAATCTTGGCTTCGCTCAAGGCGGCATATCCCAGTGGTGCGGCACCTCCACCGGCGGTCGCGGAAATGATGGCCAGATTGGAGGCGGACTCCGGCAAGGATGTTATCAAAAGATTACACAACCATACAGCTCAACTCGGAGCTGCGAGGAAGGAGCTGCAACAGGTCCGCGGAGCGAAAGACAAGTTGTCCGGTGCTTGGCATGCCTTCTTGGAGCAGGTGACAGAGGCAGTTCGCCGAGGACAAGACGACTACGAGAATCAGTTCAAAGACCTCGAGAACCGGGAGAATGCTGCGCAAGAAAAGGTGAGCGCAGCACGCAAGCAGATCCGCGAGCTCACAGCCAATACAGCAGTATCAGGCAAGGATGGGGTGGAGAGCATAGACGAATCGGAGTCGGATGGTGTGGAAGCAATGGATGCCGCCACTCCCTTGGAGATTGCCGAACCACCGGATACAGCAAAGTTGAAATCAGCTTTGGAGGCAGTGTGTGCGAGATTGCCGGCCGAACGGGAAAGAAGTCCCAGACGAAAGGCTTCCATAACGGAGCACCCTGCCTAGGCTGCAGTTGCAACGCTGAATGTCAGCCGTATGTCCGGCCATCCATTGGCGCGCATAACGGCAACGAGCAGCCACACCACGGCCAAAAATCCCAGTCACCCGTGGAGGGTTGTAGCTATGACATGCTACTGCCTTACTCACACTCGATTGTCGACGAACATGACTTCAAAACCCCATACATGGCTGCTTTTCTAGGAGCCTTGTGGGAGCTACAGGTCTGCATAGAAGCCGAGTCGATCGACTGGGACGTGAGTTCCTTCATATGGGGCTCAGGTGTGCCACCTTTTCATGAATGGCGGCGCCATAGAGGTTGCCGACGCAAGGACAGTCTTCGGATAGATCAGGGAAACGTGCAGACAGACGGCATGCTGTGCGCAAAGATGCCCATGGACAGTATGCATCTTTTCGAGCCGGCTTGCCTGAGTGACTGTATTGATGTCAAACGTTCACAATATGAAGTGACCAACACCGTATCGCAGTCCAGCGTTGCGAAAACCATTTCACATGACTGCTGTAGGAAACCACACCTTAGCATTTCATGTATGAGGCAACATCCTCCACGGCAGAGTCGAGCTCGCCGTGTTAGCTTCTCTGACTCTGTACCGTTTTACGATGCTCACAATTTTGACAGGAGCAAGATTGACCAAACTGCGCAGCCATGCAGTAGCGAGAAACATCACACCATTCAAAAGCAGAAAGCGCCAGAGCCGGTCATTCTGCAACTCGAAACATTGATTGTGGACAAGCATGAGGGTCAACAGCGATGCTTGATGCGCACAGGTACTTGCCTGGACATGCTGGAAACACTTAGGGAAGGATGTCAGCTCTCTTGCCTCGAGCAAAATTATGGGCACGTAGGGAAGCTTCATCCTATGACCGAGCAGGCTATGCAATCTCTTCCTGTATGGAACAAGGTAGGTGCTATTCAGGAGGTGTTATACTTTACTGACGGGTCGTTTAATCCCAGCACGCAACGCATGGCTTGGGCATATGTTGCTGTTGTTCGGCAGCAGAACAGCTGGCTTTTGGGCGGGTACAAGTCAGGGATTGTCGAGCTTGGTGAAGCGATGCCGAACACTCGGCCATGCGCGCATGTTGCTGAAAGCTTTGCCATTGTGTACTCCATGCTGGCAGCTTCCTGCAGTGGCTGCCCATCGTCGATCGTCTATGATTGCATGGCAGCGGCGCATGCTGCACAAGAGTCGGCTAGGTCGCCCAATGAGCTTGACGAAGCAGTGACACACATTGCCTTCATTTTGCGTGCAGTTGGTTGTTGGCCCCAATGGAGACACATCACAGGTCACAGCGGGCATCCCATGAACGAATTTGCGGATGTACTTGCCAAGTCTGTGCTAAAAAGCCAAGTCCATGCAAGGCCACCACAACAGCATGACATGCTCGTCGCGGCGGTTGAAGGACACGTGGCTCTGGGTGTATGTTGTGTCCCACGCGAGCCCTAGCGCGTGGCCTAGTCTACATGATGATGGCACCGTTTGGGGAGAGCCTTTCGTGGCGTCGACATGTAGAGATGCAGAGGTTGATTTGGAAAGTGCTCCAAACCGACAGGGTGTTGCCAGCAATCACAATGCTGACGCTGAAGGCGCCGCTTGTTTCAACATCAAGCTTGTCACTTACAACGGCTTGTCATTAAAGCCGACGGGGCAAGTTCATTGCCTTGATCAGCATTTCCATGACATCGGCGTACACCTGGTTGGCCTCCAAGAAACGAGAACACAGCCTGACCACCCTGAACGAGGATCCCACTTCCTCAGGTTTGGGTCCAAAGCTGTGAAAGGACAAGGCGGGTGTCAGCTGTGGGTTGATACTGCTGCACATGTCGGTGTTGATGCATACCAGCGTGCTATCAAGTGGGACACTGATTCCTTCATGGTTGTCCATTCTGATCCACGCATTCTCGTTGTCAATGCGAGCGCTGGTCATGTCATCTTCAGCTTAGTGGTTATGCATGCTCCTACGTCGGTGACCAGTAGAGACGTGATACAGGAGTTTTGGTGCAAACTCCAGGCTGTTTTGCAGAAGTTGCCCAACAATGCCATCAAAATCATCTTCGCCGATGCCAACGCACACTTCGATGCCCATCACAAGGACGGAACACAACACCGCCCAAGCAACTTCAATGCTGAGCAGATGTTGGAGGTGTTTCGTAGTGCCGGCATGCGCGTGACTTCGCCATGGGACTGTAATGGGCAGTTACTAAAGTCATGGACGAGTCCCGGCGGGCATCAAAGTTGCATTGATTATTTTGGGATCTCTAGCCAGTATCATGAGCACCTTGTTGCCATAGAAACACTGACTGATGTTCCTGACATGCACGCGGGCTTCGACCATGAACCCCTCAAGGGCATACTGGCTTTTCAAATTGCCGGGAAGCATGCTACCAAGCCGCGTCGAAGATTCGACGTGAGCGCTATGAAGCGCCCAGAAGGCAAAGCCATGCTTGAAGCTTGTGCTAAAGCGTTCCCGTTGCCTGTCAATCGGCCCCGCAAGCCCTTCGTTGACGACGGGGCTTGGCAAGTGCTTCGAAGTCAACATGCAGTTAGAAACATGTTGAGAAACATTCGCAAATCTGGTGCCAGATTCGTTTTAGCGCACGTTTTTGCTGCATGGAAGAGGGGCCGGTGGTTGCATTGTTCCAGTTTCAGGTTGCGCTCGATAGAGTCCATCGCACGTTGCAAGAAGCAGCAGGACCATCGAGCAGCAATGGTATGGAGCGCACAAAGGAAACTCAGGGCTGAAGTGCGGCAGCAAATGCAGAGATGTCAGGCTGCTTATGTTCGGGCATCCTTCGAGGAGGCACGGACGCAAGGACCAAAAGCGATCTCGGACCTTATTCGATCGCTCCAGAGACAGGGCAAGAAATACAGAGCTCCCAAAATCCTCCCCCCGTTGACTAACAGTCGAGGTGAGTTGCTGTCGAGTAGGAGTGAGGTTTGCGAGGTCTTAGGAGACCATATCGCGAAGGCCGAGAAAGCCACCAAGCTCGACCTCGATACATACAGGCAGCAAGTTGACGCGCGCAGGCCTAGAAGTCACGAGGCATGGGGCGGATGTACGATACCAACTGCGGCGGAATATGCTTCAGCTCTTCGGCGGTTGAAGCCTGGTAAGGCACCAGGTGTTTCCGGCCTTGTGCTCGACATCTTCACTCACGCTGCTCAGCCAGCAGCGATGACGATGTACCCCCTTATGCTTAAAATGATGCTCAGACAAGAGGCACCAGAAGCATGGGTACGGTCGTACATCAGTGTCCTGCAGAAACCAGGCAAAGATATAAGCCTGCCCACCGGTTGGAGATCAATTGCGCTGCAGGAGGCACCTGCTAAAGCAGCATGTGCCACCATTCGGGGTGAATTGGTCCGTGCCTTCGAGATGTTTGCTGACCATGCCCAGTTGGGAGGGCGGCCAGAAGGGCCGATTGGTTACCCTTCGCACCTGGTGAAAGGCCACCTCGGACGGATGGCGCGGCACAAAAGATCGGCAGGCGTCATCTTCGTAGACGGGCAGCAGGCATTTTACGCCGTGTTTCGTGAGTTGGCCACGGGAGTCCCAGGAGCGTCAGAAAACCATAGCATGCTTGCTAAGGCCATGGAGCTCATGCATGAAGATGAGGATGTGAGATCCGACCTCTTCAAGCTGCTCCTGGGACCGTCCATTTTGGAGCAAGCTAATGTTCCCCCAGCGGTGCAAGCATTCCTCAACACGAGCTTGACAAACACATTCTTCCAGCTCGATGTTGACAGAGCCATCGTGTATCACACGGAGGCTGGCTCAATGCCAGGATCACCGCTGGCAGACGTGATATATCAACTCGCGATGGTTGGTTTCCACAGGCGCCTCCGAGAAAGCCTACAGAATGATGGCCTTCAGGTACTTGCGAGCGACCATTGCACATCACGTAGTGGTGCTTCGTCAGTTGCCGGGTGGGTTGATGACATTGCTTTACCCGTCGAAGCTGAAAAAGCTTCAGGACTCGTTCCTCGAATTGCTACAGCCATGCGTCATGTAGACAGTTGCCTGCGAGCAACGGGTGTTAGTGTTAATTATGCGGCTGGCAAAACGGAAGCGATTGCATGTTGGCGTGGCAGTGGCGCGAGACATGTGCGTCATGCTTGGTTGATTGAGCAAGATGGGTGGATCGGTGTTGTTTTAGCACATGGGCGAACGGCACGTCTCAAACTTAATGACAGATATGAGCATTTAGGCTCGCTTGTGACGGCCACGGTCGCCTTGACTGATGAAATCAAGCATCGTAAAGCCAAAGCAATGCCTGCTTTCAATGCCCTACGACGCCGTGTTCTCCACAACAACTTTCTCACGGCAGCAGAAAAGACGCGACTTGTTTGTCAGGGCCCTCTTGCAAGCTTGATGCATGGATCTGGCACGTGAACGGAGTGTAATGAACATGACCGCCGCATCTATCATGGATCTTACATGAGCATCGTGCGTTCTTGCTTGAGACCGGTTCTAGGCTTGACTGCGAGAAGCTCTAATGACGAAGCAGTCTGCTTAATGATGGGCATCCTTCCGCCGTGCCAAGCTCTAATCGTTAGCAGACTTCGTCATGCTTGCAGCATTGCGAAATGGGTTGACATGTATACCGCGTGCATGCTGGTTGAGGAACAGCGATGGATCGAAGCAATCAGTGAAGATTGGTGTGCGTTGCTTGCAGTGGTTGTGTTGCCGGTCGAAGCATGCCCACTTGATGGCGGCGGAAAGGTTATGGAATGGTTCCAAAAGGTTCATGCTCATAAGCATGAGATCAAGAAGGCCATCCGACATGCTGCCGCCGGTTGGAGCACAACCGCGCATGAACAAATCGACGCGATGTTGAAGCATGCGGCGGCTGCCACGGCATTCTTCAAACATGGGGGTGAAGCGGGCACATTCAGGAAGTTCGCTGTGGCGGACGTACCGTTGCCATGCAATGAATGCGGATTTCAGTGTGCTTCACATGCTGCCCTCGCTTCACACATGAGAATGCACGGTCAGCGCTCGCTTATGTCACAGCTAGGTGATATGACGTCGTGCCAGGTGTGTGCTCGAGAGTTCTGGGACGTAGCTAGACTTTATATGCACCTACGTAAAAGTCCAACGTGCAAGGCAGTTTTCGAGGCTTCAGACATCAACCTTGGGGCAGGTGCTGTTGCAAGAGTCCCGGCAGCAGTGAAACCTGCTACACGGCTCATAGGTCCAGTCGATTGGTGGGCCACTCGCAGGCCACGGACCCATGAAGGATCCAACCAGTCAACGTTAACATCCCACGTTGGATTTTACCAGCTCTGGCAGAACATCCGCAATAGTAGAGACAGTATGTCCACTGCCCAGTTTCTCGCTATGGCATGGCAGTTTGTTTACAGTTCATTGAAGCAGAGTACACAGGTGGAGCTTGTGAGTGATCACCTGAGTGATCCACTGCTTCAGGCTCTGTGCGAAGTGTGCGATGAGGGGCATGGTTATGTTGAAGGTTGCTGGATGGTGGCTAGTGACGAGCATTACTACATTTATCCTTCTAGCATGCCACTGCCCATTGCACGCGCATTCGCACTGCCATGAACTTGCAACTTTGAATTTAACTAGCGCCAGACGGTCTAGAGCTTGTGGAAAAAGACGTCCAGAGCCCTTCTGCCATATTGAGAACCTTTGAGAACCCCAAGGAAGGTCTCAGCATTCAGGGCCTCGAAAGGCTCAACACCGAAGCCTCGAATCCCCGGCGGTCAGGCAAGACTAGCTTTGGCGAACCTTCACAGGCACGGGCGGCACGGGGTCGCTGGATTTCTTCGGGTTGATGTTTGGGGAAGGGGGGGTCCATGGCTCGCGCCTCAGCCCCAAGATCTAAGCCCTGCGATCAACGCCGAAAGCTTTAGACAGCTCAGCTCAAGGCCTGAGATCGGTCTTAGCATCGTCCCCCGGCGCGAGGGAAGCTCTGCCTGAAGCCCCACAAGGACACGAGGGCAAACAGGAAGATTCTCTCTGACTCCACCCCTCGAAACCTACATCCACAGTTATTTTCAGTGAAAGGCTGCTCGAGGTGGTCCGGCGTGTTAGGCCAGACAGCCTTAGGAATACCTTCTTGGTGTTTTTTTGGTTGGCTCTTAGGAGTTTAACTTTTTGGGGTTTCTATATGATCTATAATAAGGAGACTAAAAGTGTAACTTTTTGGAGGGGTTCAGAAGTCAGCCAAGCCATGTTCATTTGAAGAGCGAGCAAACGCCTAACGGCCAACCTCGCCCACTCGAGCTGTCAGTTGCGACCGGCCATGACCCCTGACTGCATACTCCTTGCATTCAGCTAGTAGAGTATGTCAGCAGTCCTTGAAACCCTTTTAGACCAGACCTCTCTGCGACGGCCTTGGAACCCAGAACCGTGAGCTCCACTCCGACCCAGCCAGATCCTAAAGTCCGAATCGTACTTGTCAGGTGCGCTCCCTGGGTTACACCTTTTGGAGCCAAGACGAGCTCCACGATTTCATTGTCAATGATCTGAAACCGCCACTGTCCTAGCAGCTTGTTGCCCGGATTTCGTTTTGTGGTGTTTCAGTCCCTTGCCTGTGAGCATTGCGGTCTTAAGCAGCCGCGACAGCTTCCGCCCGAGTCTCGCATCTGAATCTGAAGCTCGGATGCGCCAAAGAGATCTGTGCTCCGAAGCATACGGCCCCACTCCTCTCAACAATTCGTCCAACGCCAACAGCTTGATGGGATCTGGATCCGAGCCCGACGCCTTGACTATTTGCAAACCAAACCCCGAAGATTCACTAGCACATTTCCAAAGCTCCGTTTCCGGCTTCGGAGAGCTTGTGGGGTTTACACTTCTTCGGTGGACCTGAGGATTTTCCATCGGGACACCTACGACGTCATCTGCAACAACTGTCCTTCAGCAGCAGCAACGGTGATGGGATCTCATGAGTAACTGTTGGGTTCATGGCTGTGCTCTTGAGGCCTTGGCTGAGTGGCGCTTTTTGGGTTGAGGGATATAGCAGGTAGTAGAGGGTGTATGGGTCTGGAATGCTACTGCGTCCACGGTTTAGGGTCTTTTTCCGGGATGTTCCAGGGTTCAGGGTTTAGGGCACACGTGCGATGTCACGAGTTTGCCTTTGGGAGTTCCTGATTGTTCAGCTTTGTACTTTCAGCGACGGTTCCTTGACTTGCCGACATGTGCTTGACAGCTGTCATTCGTCTGCAGCAGCACATGTGCGAAGTGGGTCTCCCAAGGCTTCTCTTGAACAATCTGTCCGGCAGAGGCTTGAATTGTGCATTCTACTTTTAGTGTGTGTTTTTTCATAACTGTCCTTCACCGAGGTCTTCCTATCCTGGGGTCCGTTCAGCCTGGGATATCTTCACGCTCAGACCTCTCTTAATCGTGGCTTCCCCTACAGTGGTTGGCTCTCGTTTCAAGGGCTCACTGAGTCCAACGAGCCTTCAATCCCAGTCAACCCTAGAACCCTGAACCCTTTCAGGTTCAGGGATCTGCTCCTTGCAAGGCAACCACTTCAGCGACCGGGTCGCCCTGCGCGGCGCTTGATGTTCTTGGAACGTTCGGTGAAGGGCACAGCCACAGCCTTTGTTTCCCATTCGCTTCTTGATTGTTCACCGGTTTGTGGTTGTGAATTGTCTTGTTTGAAAGCAACACGAATGACACAACAAAGCCGTGCTATAACGCCTTAGGTCGACTAACGCGGTTGAAGGTCCTGAAACATGCTATATCCCTCTCTCTCTAGACAGGTATGTGCCAGTCTATTTCCGCTTCTTAATATCCTCTAGGCCCTTATCGCCATGCAATAACAAGGTTCCTCACCGGGCGACCACTCCCGGAGGACAGAGAGAGAGAGAGAGAGAGAGACAGAGCCACTGTTGATAGACCGAATCCCGCATTACTCTACGGGCCTTCACGGATAGATGAAAAGTGGTCATGCGTGGCGGCCTCGGATCCACGGCTACATAGGGCTTTTTGGTGGCGAGTGTTCTTGTCATTGCTCTTTCTGGGGGGGTTTGGTGTTTGGAGCATGTAACGGCGGCCGTGGCTTCAGTTCCCGCAGCCTTGCAAGTGAAGTTGCAGGACGTTCGGAACCAAGCCGACCGCCTCATGGATTTGGTCGGGTTGCCCAGAAACACTTCAGGACCTTCAGAAAACTTGAGGGCTGCGGCCTCAGGTTGACCTGGCCATTGAGAGCTGTGCGGCTAAGCCCAAGCCTTGAACCGCAAAAGAGGGACTCGGATCGTGCAGGGTTGAACAAGGTTCCCGGCCGTAGCTCCATAGGTACTGTCCCTGGACTGCGGTAGCCCTAATGCTGTCCTGGGCTTCAAGCCATGCTTTTCGCACTGGCGGGAGATGTCGAGCTCTGCACACCAAGACTCCGAACTTCAAGCGCTAGTGACCTTCCGCTATACAACATATCGGAACAGACTGCTTCCTCGATCCCAAGTCTCTTATGCCGACACGGATCTATCACCCTCAGCCCCCAGAAACAACGAAGCTCGTCCGAGCCCAAGTCGTGTTTACAAGGTGGCCGTGCGAGCGGTGCGGCCATTTCTGAACTGGTCCGGTGCCCAAGGGAGCCCCAAGCCCTAAATCTGATATATAGAGCTCCGAGCAACTGTAATAATGTTGATTTGCCCTACAGGCCCGCGATGGTTGTCCTCTATGATAGTACGACAGTGTACCCTCAAGCCATCAACTTCTCTACTACACCCCCAGCCCCAAATCCCGCAATCAGGTAGGTTCCTCCTTAGAGGGAGCTTGTAGCCTCAGCTCCTCCGACATCGAGCCGACCTCAGCTTTCAACCTGAAGCAGACCCAACGCTTGGACCTGAAGCCTGGCCGTGGTGTTTCCCATCCCGTTCTCACAGATGACCCTAAGCTCCTTACTTGCTTGCGAGAAGTTTTCTAAAGCAGCAGCAAGAACTCCAAGGCCTGAACCAGAAAAAGCCCCGTCATGACCCTCCGCCCTAAAGCCCGAACCGCAAGCCCAAAAGAGCCCCCAAAGCCTTAGACCTTTACTTCCAGTCAAAGAGCCTTATCCCAGGCCCTAGAGGCCCTACGAGGCCCAAAACAGAAGAACCAGCAAAAGAGCCCCAAACTCTCAGATGACTCTCGTCTCTCAGACTTCGAACTAAGGGGCTCTAAGCATCCCTGAGTTCCTTCCGCAGGCTCAGAACTCCTTCAAAACATATTCTACTATGTAAGCACGGAGACATACATACACTGTGCGTTGAAGCTTGTTTGTTTGTCTGTCTGTCTGTATGTCTATCTGATGTCCGTATGTCTGCGTGCATGTCTGTATGCATGTCTGCATGCATATTTGCCTGCGTTTCTGCATGATGTCTGTCTGTACGTCGGTTTGCATGCATGCCTGCCTGCATTTCTGCGTGATGCCTTTCGAATTTCTGTTTGTCTGTCTGTATGTATGTATGCATGCATGTATGTATGTATGTATGTATGTATGTTTCTTGTATGTACTTGAGGCTGTGGTCCTGCCTGCCTGTCTGCCTGTCTGCCTATCTGCCCCAATGTATGTCTGTATACATGCA